CACACACACACACACACACACACACACACACACACACACACACACACACACACACAAACTCCCTCCCCTCATTCATTCTACTTTTCTGTCACTCTCACCCCTTCCAGTGCAAATTTAGCAGGACCCTCTCTAGACTCTGGTGCTGAAGTGCGAACCGGACACATTCAACTGTACTTAACGCGGTGAGAGCTATTCAGTCTTTTCTGCTCCACAGACAGACTCTTACCTCCTTTCCAAAATGGGACCCTCCTGATCTGCACTGCCAGGCATCTCCAAGCATTTAGACTTTGCACCTGTGCGGAGAGAAAAATACATATTAGTGAAACCAAATATCACCAGCAGCCAACTGGCATTGATTTAATCACATCTCCGAGAAAGTTTGCATTATTTAGCAATTGTGCACATTATTTGCGTTTTGTAAATGGCCAGATTAATTCAAGATGAAGTTCTTTCTCTTTACTATTCCTTTGGCTGCTTTCCACCTGCTGCCTCTGTTTGGTGCCAGTGCTTTTCAAATCAGTGATGATATTAATTATTCACCAGCTTCTCTTCACTGAACACCTAGATTGACTGAAATATTTACAATTTAAGAGCTTGTCATTTGTCACAAGTGAAACCTTTGAGCAGTTTTCTAAATAATGCTCCCGTGGGGGGGGGGGGAAAGTTAAGCTGACCTCCAAAAAATGTCAAGAGAGGTTCTTACGGGCTTTACATTTACATAAACACACACTCTGCTCCTTTCTCTGTTTGTCTTTCAGTGTCTTTCACTCGTCCACCCGCAAAGCCGCCGGGTTAGAGCCCATCAAAGGTGGTTTCTCCCTCGCTGATTTTCAGAGGTCAGGGGCGTGATGTCCATCCACAACTCCTGGTTTCACAAAAGCACATGCAAGAATTGCGTTTGGACAATCAGCTCCGGACCTCCATCCTTTTCTTGGTCATCCGTAAGTGTGCACACTTGGACACTCGGGTGCATAGCCTACTTAAAGTAGGCATCAGTCCACTAAGGCCAGAGACTGATTGGTGTTGGTCCACCCAAAAAATCTTTTCTCCACTTGTTGAGCTTTACTTTCATAATGGAGGATGAACAAAAAAAACTAAAAGGATTGTGAGCCCATCACACAGGAATGAGCGGGAAGGCGAAGAGAAAAAAAAAAAAGAAGAAGAGAAAAGAAACTGAAAGCTTTAACTCATGCTTGTCCTCTGTGCCGGTGACACCATGATGAACGAAGGGGTCACCACCCGGGGGCAGGCCCGTCCAAAGGGAGCCAGCGATGTGACCTTGTACAAAAGAAGAAGTGAATCCCCCAACGGTCACACGGATCAAAGAAGACAAAAGCCTGAGATGATAACTCAGCACAGCAGTGGAGCACATTATTATCAGACACATGAGCAGAAGCAGTAGTAAATTTCACAGAGTTCGATGCAGGCGGGTGGACGTGGGAGGGCCTGCAAACGAAAAACTAAAGCTCTGACCCGCTCTAATCTGATTTGCCGTACGCAACATTTTCTCTTTATCTGATTCGCTCCGTGAGGCGTTTTCTCTTTCTGTGGGACCCCATCTTTATCCAAATGATGTGGTCTTTGGTGAGGCCTGGTCTATTCATGGGAACCCCATGTGCTGTGTGCCCACCATTGAGGTGCAGAGTAGCATGGCCACAAAGGATGGCAGCGTTTCAGAAGGTCCTCTCCTTACAGTTGAAGTCTCTGTTCAGGATAAAGTTTGTGGTTAAACCACAAAACCAGAAAATCCAACAAATGTAGTAAAATTATAAAAAAGTGAAAAAAAGGTGTTAATTATGGGCTAAACTGCTGAAATAAAGAGGAAGAGAGTTTTATATTGCAATATTTAACTTAAAAACATTTGACGTTGGTCTTCTTTGTAAAGTAAATGATTTCTGTCACGAATTAACATCAGACTGAACGGCTGAAACTTTTTCCATGAAACTGACTTTGCAATAAAGTTTATCTTCCTTGACTAATACCTGCATTTAAAATATTTGTCCTACACTTTTAAATAAAACACTGTGCTTCAAATCTCCATGAAGTGCTGGTATTAAAACAGGCCTGAAGGCCCAAACTTTGCTCTTCAGCTCCTGTTAGCACACAGGCTACTTACAGGTGTAAATTTAAAACAGTTTAAATCTGCTGGAAGAAAAGAAAAGAGAACGAAACAGCAAAAAACCCAAATAAACAAAGAAGGAAAAATACAAAAACTCAACAACAAAACGCACACAAAATCAAGAAGACAACAGTGCAGTAGCACCCAGTGTTTGAACCCTTCGTGGCCTAAAATCTGGACGACCAATTACAGCAAAAAGCATATGATGAAGTCCCTCACAGCCACAGAGCGTTCATCCTTACATGTGCGATGGACATCTCCGCCAGTCAGTCTTCCTCCCTCGGCTCTGGGCCGAATTTCAGCAGCATCGCTGTCGACGTCTGACCGCACTTGTCCCACTTCTCCATCTTTCACTCTCTCTGCCTCTGCCTCCTCTGATCCGGCGTCCTTCTTCCTCTCCTTCTTCAACCCTTTCTGTCCGGCCCTCCCTCTGCCTTTACATTTCCTTCGCCCCTGTCTTTCTCAATTTCCCCGCCCTCTCTCTCTCTCTTTCTGTTTCTCTCATTCTCTGTCTCTCGCTCTCTCCCTCTCCTCATTTCATGCAGCGCTGGGGTTACCTAAGAGACTGGGCCTCAATGGAGAAAATCTCCTTTGGTACAATGAAATGGGTGAGAGGCAGAGAGGAGGGGAGGGGAGAGAAATGAAGGGTCTGGGGGGACTGGGTAGAATGAGGGGGTGCTGGACACAGGAGGGGAGGGAGGGTTGGGGGTGTGAGAGTAGAGGGACAGTGGGATGCAGATCTATGCAGGGATGTAAGGGGGATACGAAATCCCAAAAATTCAATAAGTGGCTTTGCTTGATTTCGCCTCAATGGTCAGTGCGTTGCTGGTTGCCTGTGATGCCCCCCCCCCCCCCCCACCTGCTCTCCACTCAGCCTGGTTTGTCTAACCACAAAAAAAACAAAACAAACTACACTCATTTGAAAAGTTTGAAGCTAAATTTCCACCAAAAAACATTAAAAATGAACCTAATATGATATAATGCTCTTTTTTTAAAGGGAAATTAAAGTTTGACCTCACTTAAATGTTTTTTTTTTTTTTTTTTGCAAAGCCACCATTGGCAGAGATGAATACCATTTTGATAACCATGAGATTGGAGACCTCGGTGTCAGTAGTCTCCGTTTTGTTTGTTTATTTGTGTCTTTGCTCGCCGCGGGGATCAGAGCTCTCTTTACAAAGAGTGTTTCAGCAGCATAAACTCTCTGTTCTCCAGCACAGTGCAGGCCCCATTCAGCACGAGTAATTACACTGTTCCTCTTACATCTATTCAGTGTCTCTCTCCAAGAGATGTTCCTCCCCAAAATAAAAGAAGTCACAACACATGCAACCTTGTTTAGAGGTTAGTTACTGATTAGCACAGAAACTGTTGCAGTTCATTTTCCCGGTGCACCTTATTGAGCTCTTCAGCGATTCTTTTCAGTTTGTCGCTTGTCTCTGGGTTGGCAAACAGATCCCCCGCTGCTCAGCTCTGTGTCTTTACAACTCTCCCCGAGCCCCTTTTCTCATCGAAGGATGTGAGAAAACAATGGGGCTAATAAAAGAAGCAGAGATAATTACAGCACGGCAAAGAAGTTTGCGCTCCTACGCCCCAAAACCATAAATACCGCCGGTGTAAAATCGGATATGTGGGTGACTTTAGGATGTCTTTTTACACGCTTTTCTGTGCCAACAGCGGAAACTTATTCTTATTCTCATGTATGTCCTGTGTGCATGCCAGGGTGAATCTGGGATCTCTGTGTTAATGACTCTATCAGGCCCTGATACCCAGAGGCCCCTGCTGAGGGAATGGATCCAAAGGGATTGGGGTGTTAGAATGTGGCACAGAGGGTGGCAGAGTTGGGTTGGGGCGCGCTGTGTGTGTGTGTGTGTGAGAGAGAGTGAGTGTGTGTGTGTGTGTGTGTGAGTGAGCGTGTCCGAGGATGTGTATGTGTTTGAGACACGGGAGGGAGGGGAGGAAGGGGGTGCGGGCAGATTGTCCATGGTACTCACCCCTCCGGGCGGGGCTGAATGAAGTTATTTCCAGGCCCCTGTCCATCTGTTACCGTGGCAGCAGTGGTGACCAAGGTGTTGCCATGGCGAGGTGGACACAAAAAGGCGTGGCGTGGGAACGAGTCCAGGGGTCAGGAGTAAGGGTCAGGGGGTCAAGGGTCACAGCCAGCTGGACAGCACACAAGAGGAGGCCAGGGTGAGAAAAGAAGGAGCGAAGGTTTGATTTTCGTTTTCTTTTTCATCCTTTCTTCTCTCATTTTTTTTCACTCTAGAAGGAGACGTCCGAAGAGTGGACACCAGTGGACATTAACATTGAACTGGGGTGGTGAGATGAAAAGGGGGAGGTGGAGGGGTGGGGGGGTCGCTGTGGATGAAGGGAGTGAGAGGGGCTGTGGGGTTCACAGAGCAGGGCTCCCACAGCGTCCAGGCTCTGGGAGGCAGCGCTGCATTCGGCCTTACTGGTGTCTAATCGCACATTGCATTTGACAGGCAATTGACTCTGGTCAATGTACACGCAAATGCGACTATTGAGAGGATGTGGCCGGCTGCATGTGAGTGCGTGTCTGTCTGTGTGGCCACAGTCTGCACTTTACCCGGATAAGTGATACCTCAAAAAAGACAAAAGGCCCTTTGGACAACATTTCATTCCTTTCGTTTTAGGCCTCAAAACTGCTCGCAGACAATGAGACAAACTGAAGGGAGGTAATGAATCAAACTTTCACTCAGCATGGGAAAACCATTTTCTACATGTTTTTCCCATCTCATATCATTACCTAGAACTTTTCTTTCATGCACAAATTGCTGCCCATGTACTGCAGCGAGCGACCAGCAGCACCTTTAAAAGTAAAAAAATGGATTAAAGCTTATCAAAATCGAATGAGGAGGCTTCTTTGCAGTGAAGGACTATCTGTTAAAGACTGTTTGCACAGTTGGAGCCTCATTTTACTTACATCAACTGTGAGAAAGTAAATATGTGTGTGAGAGAATAATACTGAAGGAAGGCATACATGAAAAGCACAACCTGAGACCAGAGTATTTGGTTTGTTAGCAAATGTCATGTGTTTCTAATAAAATCTGCTCAGTCAGAAGTTTTTGTATTTCCTTTGGTAATGTTCAAATATGAGCTTATGTTGGCGGAAAACTCAAAATTTAAAATGTAAAATGAAAGCGCTGAAGATAATTTGACCTTCAGTTGTTCATAGACACTGCACACAATTCACCTTTAACTTCACCCCATGATTTTCTTTCTGTAACAGGCAGGTAACCAAATATCTGACTCAGTAAAGAGGACATGAAGTTGTTTCTAACTTGGCAGCTCACTCTGTCCAGGCAGCTCCCTCACCTGCACCAAATGCCGTACTTCAACAGTCAGAAAACTTTTCAGCTGCTGTGGAGCCTCTCCTGCTGCCTGCGTGACAGAAAGGACAATACTTTGATGATGTCTGACGTTAACGTGTGAAAATACCTCAAATAATATTTTTTTCCCACTTTCTCATTAAAAAGATTTTAAAATGAAAGGCTGGAGTGTGAAACATATCAAAGTTCAATGTTTGATTTCATAGATTAAAGTCACAGTTAACACATTTTAAGTAACACCTAAAAACACCCTTGTGAGACTGAGGCCTTTATCATAGTATTTATTACTATTTATCTTGTAAAAGTGAGACTGTATCACAACAAAAGGTGTCTGATAATAAAGCTGGTAATGATGAAATTAGAGCTACACCAAGAGGGATACACTAATACTGTTATTAAAACTGAATCATGTTCATAACCAGGGACAAATAAGGCATTAGACTGGTTTCAGTGCAGACACGAAGCAAAAAGGTTTGCATGTGTTGAGATGCTTTTGCAGTTGCAGCTCTTTTAAAAACACACTGTTACTCCCCTGGCCTTCAACCCAGTGTGAGATGTCTGTGATCTTATGTTACTTTTATGAACTCGTTTATTGTTTAGCTTCTACAAATAAAACATTGTACTAGCTAACTAGCTAACTAATCAGCTGTTCTTGCGAAATATACCCACTCATATACCTGCCAGACTGAAAGATGTGAACATACAGTCTACAGGTCAGAACTGGCCCACCAAAGGCTCCAGTCTGGTTCACTCGATGGGTCACACAAGTCATTAAAAACTCCAATTTTTCAATAAAATGCACTGCTATTCCTGGCGTTCGTGTTGCTAACATGATTAACACAGGAGCAGTATCTTTACTGCTCTACATGAAGATGTAAAAACTGTTTAGTTTAGATTACACATTCTACATGTCATGTGAAGGTGTGTGTGCCACTCTTAGCTCAAAATTATTGAAGCAGACTGTAGAAAACCTGAGGTCCAAGTTGGAATTTCTCTTTCTTTTTCTTTTTTTCCTTAGAATTCCCAGTTTGTAAATTCACGAAACCTGGTATTTTCAGGATGCATCTGTAATTATTATAGGTCATTGTGAAGTGTTTTAAATAGATGGGCCTACGTGAGGTCAAATTGGACTGCATGAACTGGACTCTCATAAGCTTTCAACTATGGCAGCAGCAAAGAGGAGAGATTGAAATGTCCATCTGCCCCGTAGCGAACGAAATCGACGGCCAACCTCGAGCCGCATCAGTGGATAACACATTATGACAACGTGGATAAGAAGACGCTTACAATGCAATTACACACACAAGAACACACACACAGACACACAAATACATAGAATAAACACATAGGGCCCCTTTAGACTTTAATAGTTGCCGGGATGAAAGGAGTGCGGGATCCATACTCCTCTGCAGCCCACATTAATAGGATTAGGAGCAGGCTCGGGAGGACGTGGCAGGCCAAGTCCACTGCTCCGTTTGACACCTTTTGTCCACAAGCCCTGAGACGCAGATCACAGCAATAGGATGAGAGACAAAAGCTTTTGAACATTGTGTTGTAGCTACAAATATATCCTGATGGGAGAACGCTGAGCCTCGAAGTCCACAGCAGATAAAACGAACAGACGGCGATTTTGACAACTCAATCAATTTTCAAAATGGAGAAAACACGTTTTCACAATTTAAATCCATAAAATGCCTTCACCGGCAAAGGCCTGATTCTGATAGTGATGTTTATACATTATTAAGTATTGGAAAGTTTCTGAGATGTGAGTTCTTTACTTCAAAGTGAGAGCAGATCCTTTGGTAGGAACATGTGCTTCTCTTGACTTGTGGCTTCTACTCCATTGACTTATTTCAACCAAACCATTAGAAGAACCACTTCCTGTGCACCACAGGAAAGACATCATATACTGGATCACAATGACAGCACGCATGATGCCTGGTAAACAGTTTAAAATAGTAAATTCTGTCATAAATGTGTAATTTCAGGTGTGAAGTTTTTCTCTCTCACATAATGCATAGTTGTGTTTAAAAGCTCATTAAAAACACAGAATTTAATTTTTGGATATTTTGGCATGTATGGTCTGAGTTCATCATTCTCCTTAAATGTTCGCTTTAAAATTCAGGAGTGACGAGTAAATATCCTGCAGCAGACCACAGGTGGAAGCTGGGGCAGTGACTGTCACAGTCCTGGGTCTGGTGACTCAGGGTGTGTGTGTTTTTGAGTTTGGGTAATATTTCTTGGTTTTGTATCAGGTTCGGTTTTTGTGCTTATGTTACTTTCTTGCTCTTAGTGATTATCTTCTACTTCACTGTCCAGTGTTTTCTTGTTTGTTGTGAGTCTTGTCTCTGTTTCATTCCCCCAGTCACAGTTTCAAGCTCACGTGTGTTGTCTGCGTCTACCTATTTGTCATGCTTCTTGTTTCATTTTGATAGTCCTTGTCCAGTGTGCTTTGCTTCCCCTTTGTCTCGTTGTGTCAGATTTGTCCCAGTTGTGTTCCCATCTGTTCCCCATCCTCTGTTTGTTGTTATGTTCTCCATTTTTGCTGTGCGTTCCTGGTAAGCTTCATGTTCTCAAGCTACATCATGTAATGTAAAGTCTCATCTAGTTGTTAGTAGTCAAGTGCAAGATTTTTAGTTCTCGTTCATCTTTTGTTTGTTTCTATCATCAGTCATTTACTTAGTTTTAGTTTTTATTTTCCAGCAATAAAGCTGCTGCCTTTAGCTAAGCTTTCTGTCTCCGAGTGCTGCGTTTGGGTCCTACCCTTGCCTGCCACACAGCTTACAATGACACTGACATGTCTGATGGTTAAACTTTGCTATATAAATTATAAAGGTGTGATCTGTATATGAGGCGAGGGAAGAGGTATACTGTGTAGTCACCATATGGTTTTGCTCCATTTATAGTTGCATGCCCAGGGGAGTAAATATGTGCAGATAGACTCAGCCACAGTCTCAGAATCAACCTTAATGTGTTAAAAAGCTCCACAGTGAGTGGAGCAACATAAATACACAGTGTTCAGTTAGGGAAGGACAGCAGATATTGGTGTGAATGTGCTGGTCGGTGGAGAGATGGCACGTTCTTGTGTGCTTTCACATCCATTTTAGGTTTTCTGTTTTCCTAAACTTGCTGCAGGTCTCTGTTAATCCAGTGACAAACTGGTGACCTGTCCAGGGTTTACACCACCGTTTACCCAGTGTCAGCTCGTCTAACAAAGTCCAACCATGACCCTGGTTGCATACATGGATGGGCACAATGGTTACATGATTGTAACACAACTTTTCATGTTTATCAATATGAAAAAAGTCACTATTTGTCATATCACAAATTTAATAAAGGAATGCAAGCACATTGACTGTGAGAATACATTGAAGTTGAACCCTTTAAGACCTACCATAGAACCAAGTCTGCCAGAGCTTATATTATATTTTTACCTGCTGTGGAGCCATTTGTGGGAGCATTTCAAGTTGCTATACATCAATACAACCATTATAGCCCAAATATTAATAATATGTCTGCATTAAGTGCATAATAATTACATAAATTGCAAAAAAGTGCAATAAACTACAAAAAAATTGAAAATCGTTTTTGTTTTTTCAACATATATTTCTAGTTAGAGAAATTTAAGAGGCTTATTCCTCAAAACTGTAAATACAAAAAAGTTGCACAAAATAGTTTCCCACCACAGGAAATTTATTTTGAGTGTCTTCATAGTTTTATTTTTGAAATACACCAATTTTTATATACTTCAGGAAAAACTAAAATAAATATTATAATGCAAATTTGCAAATAAACAGCATATGCATCAAACTAAACTATTTCCAGCAGTGCAATTTGACTTCTAAGCATCCCAGAAACGACACAGAAAGTCATAAAGTCAAACATAACCTTTAAAAACACCAGTATATGCTTGTATAGGCCCTGAAGGTAAAAAAACAACAACACATTTCCGCGTAAATGACGTCACTTCCGGTTTCAGGCAGGTAATGGCGGACATGCGATAGTTCGCGCTGACGTCTATCCCAACGTAGGAAGTGTTACAAACAGCTGATCGGATCGGCAAAGTGTGTTTCTGGAATATTATGTTTTTGTTACTGCAAGTGCTTTTTATGAAATTTTTGCAAAGCTTTATGTGGAAGGAAACTGACCTAGGACGTAGGTCAGTGTAAGTACAACTCCTCCGGTTTCATATGCAAAAAAAATTATTGCGCTAGCTTATGTGGTTGCAGTACTACCGGGATTTAAAAATAGTTACGCAAAACGGAGCGTGCCCGCTCCGACCGGCTTTAAAGGGTTAAGAAAGAATGCAATGGTGCCATCAACCCTTAAATATGAATGCGGATCTCTGGTGGATCTTCCTCTAGTGCAGGGGTGGGCAACTCCAGGCCTCGAGTGCCGGTTCCTGCAGGTTTTAGATGTGTCTTTGATCAAACACAGCTGATTCAAATGGCTAAATGACCTCCTCAACATGTCTTGAAGTTCTCCAGAGGCCTGGTAATGAACTAATCATTTGATTCAGGTGTGTTGACCCAGGGTGATATCTTAAACCTGCAGGACACCGGCACTCGAGGCCTGGAGTTGCCTACCCCTGCTCTAGTGTCATGTATGAATAAATCTGGGGCACGTGACTCACCTTTACAGGATTTATCAACTTATTTTGAAATGTTTTGTTTTAATTTCTCTCATATTGATATTCAGGTCGTTGTGTTGCACTGAGAGCAGGCAGCAGCTCGTCCTCGGTTTGAGCGATTATTGACATTCCCGGCGATCTCCTCACATCCCGTGCCACAGCGAGGTGACACAGAGATTCTCTGTCCTCTCTCCTGCCACTGCGCTCTGGGAGAGCGACCAAAAGCAGTTTTACCACCAAGAGCTGCTGACGCTCACTTCCTGCCAAGAATAAGAAAGAGGAGGTTCAAAGTCATCTGAGACACACATACCAACAGACATGCAATGACGCACACGTACAAACTTGGTTCATGTGTTTATAGTTTAGTGATGGATGTGTTCATGCTACACGACCTCTTCATTCTTGTTTTTCCTACAGCTTAAACTTCCATAATTCCTACAATAAATGTTTGGAGAAATTTCACTGAAGTACAGGTGGATGAAACAAGTCCATGCCTGCTCTTTGGTCCTATAGAAGTGAGTCCTGAGTCTTCAAAACCCCATCAGTCACAGGGACACATTCATTGATTAAGGAATAAATCATTTATAATGAGTAGAGTAGGTTAAAAAAAGCAGCAGTGATGTCTCTACCCTGTGGCTAAAGTCCTAAAACCAGTTCCCCAATCATTCCAATCCATCTGCTGGATGGATGTGTAAAGTGTGAAAGTAGCAGAAAGTCATTAATATTCAGTTGTTTTAAAAAATAAAATACATTGTTATACCTTATATGCTGATATCAGTGTCATTTAATATCCATTGGGATCTGTATTCAATTCATTTAACTTTGAATTCTGCACGATAAATTCAAGTGTTTGTTTCATTAGTGGTGTTTAATGCTTCGATGACCAAAACTAAACACGTTTTCAGAGTGACTTTCCTGTTCTGATTTGTTGCTGGCTGTGGAGTTCCTCTCTGCTGACTGTTGTCAGCATAAATGTTTCACACTACATTTCTTCTTTGTAAAAAGTAAATTAAAACACAGGAACAAATGTTTCTGTTACAAAACCCAAGTTTTTGAGCTGATTCAACCTTTACTTCCACTTTTTAAGAAGAAAGACTGAAGTTTTCCTCTCCTTTGAGTCTTTGTATTGATCAAAGCTTAACACGTCTGAGACCTAATGAACAGTCAGAGAAATAAAAACAAATTTTGCAGAGATACAAAGAAAGTAACTCTACTGTCCTGATTCTGGTCGAGGCAAAAGGTAAATTTACTATCATTATCTTAAATATATTTTTAAACACCAGGGTCAGTCCTCTCAGATGTCTCTGTCTGTTTGGACTGGCTGTTAGACTGAGTTAATAAAGACTTTATCTTATATACCCACAGAGACTGCTGTGGTTGCTGGGAGAGTTACGATGCACCTGCAAACATTTGTCTGTCTCTGGTAGGTTACATAAGAGTCACTGCCTGTGGTGTCAAGTTCCAGCTTCAGTTTTAAAATGTAATGTCAAAATCACAAGACACACATACAGGTCAGCACTGACCCCAGCGTCCACATCAGAGACATAAAGGAGGGGAAGGAATATCTGAACTGAACAACTGTCTGCTGCACGTGGCTCACACCATACATCTCTTCCCCTCTACAACAACAGCATCTTACAGCACTACAGAATAAATGACTCAAAGATGGAAGAAAACTTTCATCAGTCAAAAATTCAAAAGACCTAAACCTAAACATCCCTGTTAAATATCAAGGAAATTATTTTTAAATTGATCCTTGTCGTGTTGGCCACATACATGATTTCATATGTCAGTAGTCAAAAGTCATTTATTATCAGGGTGGACACCTTAAAATCTAGACACAGTCTGTAAGTTACCATCACGTGGATGGTTAGCTTTTGGACTTTTTAGAGATTCATTTATTGTTTTTAGTGTAAAAGTTTGTTGTGGACACAGAGTATCAGATCATGTAGCGATATGTTTGCACCACAGAGCTAAAGTTTCTTTTTTGTGTGTGTGAAACAGTAAATGTGAATAAATCTGATCATCTTTTGAATGCATTCTGAGGCTTTTCTATGCTTTAAAAGCTTAAACTTATAATTTAATGTCTAATAGATTTTAAGGTATACGTTGTGTGTGGTAAGGCTCAGTTCTTAGTTGCTTTAAACTTCTTGACATCCTCACTCTTTTTTCCCTCAGCATTGAAAGAGGCTGATGAATCAATAAATTAAAAAAAAAGAGTAGCAGAAATGTCTGAATAAGAGCCAGCAGCCAGAAATGACTACAATGGAAGAGCTTCAGAGAAAGGAAAGCCTTCATGTCATGAAGTCATGTCTTCTAAAAAAAAAAAAGAGTGTGTGTGTGTCTGTGTGTGAGAAAGCATGAAAAAAAAAGCGCGGTGCATGTGATTATCGGACAACGGCCGGACAGAGGCCACACAGGGCAGGCCGCAGACGGACGCAGAGAAAGGGACATTTACCTTGAACTCCACTTGTCCCGTCTCTGGGGCGGGGTCAGGTATTGTAGCCGGGCCTGACAGGGTCAGGAGGGGACAAGAGAGGGAGACAAGGGGAGGTGGGTGGGGAGCAGGGACACAGGCTGGCCCCGGGGTCGTGGGGGCTACCCTCATGGGGGGCCAGCGAGGGGGAGGAGGGTAGGTATTGGCAGATTTTCGAGGGGTGCAGATGCTCAATATGCAGATGTCTAATCGAATTGTGCTGCGATGAATTGGTTCTCCCTCCTGATTTGCATCAGGACAATCCCCAGCAGCAGCTCAGGGGTCAGCGGAGTTCCCCTGGACAAAATGAGCAGCCGGCTGCAGACGCCCCTGAGAACGTGTGAACTTGAAGTAGACTTTACTCAGTGACAAGGATATTGATTGATTCAAATGTCTGTCTGTCTGGGAGTGCGTCTGACATCTGTCTTTCCTGTGTTTCTCCAACTATGAAAAAAACATTTATTGTTTTTTAGTGTTTGAACTGCACTTTGGATTTGACTAAAATAGCCCTAAAACTAATAACAGTACTACGAGTGTGTGAGTACAACCAGAGAGAAGAGAATCTATCTCTATCTATGTATCTATCTACAAACACAATGTAATTGGTAATATTTTTGTTCCAGAAAATGCATAAAATTGTGGAATGGAAGTATTTAGCTGCTGGATTGATTAAGATGTTTATCAATACATAAACTCATCAGATTGATACAAATCAATAGGAAAAAACAAAGAAACAAAATAACTGTTCAAAGGCACAAAAAACTACATCTGTGTTGTTTCACTAAGAAAACTCAATTGTCTGTGTTTGATTGAGACAGTTTTCTATCTTATGCAAAATCATGTTTATTGAAATAATTTACTTTCTCCAGTTTTAAATCTAAATATATCAGCAAGTATAGATGAATGTCTACTTACTATTTTACTGGATTACTATTCTGACACCAAGGGCTTCAGGAGAAAAAGGTCAAGACTGAAGCCACCTTTCCTCTCATAGGTATAACTGCCCTAGAATAAAAGACTAACCTCACTGCCAAATTTAGTGTTTTCCTTCAAAAAATAACCCATTTGAAAAACCAGAGGTGTGGAAACACACTGACAGCCTTTTTCCTGTGTTGTGATTTCTCTCTGGCAGAAATTTCAGATTTGTGTTGCCCTCTGGTGGTAACAAGGAAAGACACACACTGAGTCTGAGGATTCAGTGAAATGAAAACTGTTGGTTGCCGTTTGTTACAGTGGGTTTGATTCATCCTCACACATTTAGTGTGTATGAGTTTCTGTTCTTGACATCAATTTTCATCAGCTGATTATGCATCATAATAGAACAAGATGAAAAAATATAAAACCAAACTGCAAAGAAACATCAGAAAAAAGTGACTGCAAAAGTCCAAAAATTGAAACAGGGCTTAAAGTAAATGAAAAAAAAAATCTGTAGATGCCGTTGTTCAATACAAACAAATGGATGCTGTTTTGAAAATGTAGTAAAGCTAACATAGCCGATGGAAGCATCCCCACTGAGTCATTGGTCATGTGTGAATGAGTCATTACAGGTGAATGCTGACTCTTTAGCCATTTACAGTTTCTGTCTTCAAAAATGAAGATGGGAAATAAATCAAACATTAGAATATTATATTTGTGATGTGTGAGCTGTGATAACATATCCATAAAAAAACTTAACTTTAACAGATACTTAGTGCCCTTTGATACACCTGAGAATGTAATCTGGCCAGAAAAGAAAAAAAAAAGATGCCAAAAACTGGAGTTCATCCAGCGGCCACTTGATGCTGCTCTAAAAACCAGTCAAGCCCAACTTGAGCAAATAAATTACTTACTTCTAGTTTGCTACAAGTAAACACAAGCAGTCGAGTGAGACTGTAATATTTTATTAGTTTATTACTTTGCACATTAACAGGTGTTAATCATCAGCAGTTACCTGATGATATCACCATCCAAATTTGGTCACCCGCGGCTCCAAAAATTCACATAGCAGACTTATGCTTATGTTGAGGTCTGAAAAATATGGAGCCCAGAAATGGATCTGACTTTTAAGATGCCATTCAAGTAAAATGTATTTAGTCTATAGGTCTAGTCTATGAAAAATCATTAAAAAGTCTCCAAATATATACAGAGACAAACATTTGACACCAGATATTACAGATGATGTGCTTTTATCTCTTCGTAATCACAAAATTAATACAAAAACAGAAAATAAAGTAGAGTAAAAACATAAATGTAACTAAAAACAAAAAAGTAACTACCATTAACAGTTAAAAAATAGATATATAATATCCATACAACTGTAGTGTGTTATCAAGTACCTTACTTTTTTTTTTAGCGATACTGTGAGGCACACATATATGTAACAGTTTGACAAATAAACTATGAAACTTGTTTAACAAGAAGAGTACAAAGTTTGTATCTCAGCATCTATTAATTATTGGTATGCAGGCTGGAGTATCTGTTTGCCTTCAGAGATGTTGTGTGGAGCTGCAAAGACAGAAACACAGTGTTAGTGAAGACACTCCTCTGTGTCTAAAAATATCAATAAGATACTCAAGAGTAACTCAAGAAAATTCTGAGACCGTGGTAACAATATAATTTGGAGTTAAAAAATGATTATTATCATAAAGTACAACGAGACCTCATGGTAACACTAGGGACTTATTTATTATATTATTATTATTTGCAAAGAAGAATGGGCAAGAATTTCAGTCTCTAGATGTGAAAAGCTGGTAGAGACAGACCCTAAAAGACTGGCAGCTGCAATTGCAGCAAAAGGTGGTTCTACAAAGTATTGACTCAGGGGGCTGAATAATTACGCACACCCCACTTTTCAGTTATTTATTTGTAAAAAATGTTTGGAATCATGTACGATTTTCGTTCCACTTCTCACGTGTGCACCACTTTGTGTTGGTCTTTCACGTGGAATTCCAATAAAATCGATTCATGTTTGTGGCTGTAATGTGACAAAATGTGGAAAAGTTCAAGTAGGCCGAATATTTTTGCAAGCCACTGTACTTCAGAAATCTGCAGTCCATTACTGCTGATGTGCGAAAAACAAACAAACAAAAAACAAAAAAACAAAAGCCCAGCAAGCCATGCAGCTTGCATGGCAAGGGTTGTTTTACACACCTCATTGAATTTAAGCTCTGTTAATTCATTCCCAAAATAACAGTTAACTCTGTGTTACTAAAAAGTGGAAGTGTTTTGTTGTTAACTTTTGAATGTTTTTGTTTTATACCTTGTAAAGCACTTTGTGATCTTTTATCTAGAAATGTGCTATATAAATAAAATTTTACTTACTTACTTACTTGAGTGCTGAGTTTGGATAGTGCATAAATCCAGTATCACGTGGAATTAAAATAAGGAATCAAGCACATATCCTTCACATCAGGGTACTCACAGACAAATTTCTCTATGTATGCTCAGTCATCCAGGTAAAGGTAATTTAAGCAGGAGAAATATTTCTCTGCACTGAAAATGCTACATCCCAAGAACTAAAGAAAAGTTAACCACAAGCTGTGTACAGGGAAACTGGGAGAAAAGATTCCCTGTGAGCTGCTGAAAAGTTACTGCACATTAAAATCACAGAGGAACATTGCTGTATCCAGTGTACCTGTTTTCTGCTGAGAGCTTTTCCAGAACTTTAAATATTTCTGGAGCTTTTCAGGGCAAGTCTTCATAACAAAGTTTTTCCAAAATTCACATCTGTATTTGTCTCCATCCCACTCATGTTTGGTGACGACAGCCTGTGGCCTTGCAGTAATCAATGTTAGAGTTTTCAGGTCCAAAGATATTAAGTCTTCTCCATCATAACCGTACTGTTGATAATCAACAATATCCCCGGTCACATCATCCCATTCACAACCAGCCATTTGCTGAACTACGTGGACACCTGAGAGACCAGCAGAGTAAAGTAGAAAGGCACAATGAGATCCCAGAGTATTCAACCATTAGAGATTAAAATAGAGAAACTATGCATTAAAAAGGTGCTGCAGTAATATGGTAGCAGACTGTCATTTTGTGCTTCTGTAAAAACCTGTATAGCTACATCTGTTTGACAGCAAGCCAGGAGAAATATTATTTTCTGTGACCTACCTCCAGTGTGGTTAAAGTGCTCCTTAAACTTGTTGCTCTCAGATTTAAAGATCTGTCTGTAACTCCTGCAGTTCTGTGTGCTGCTCTCCCAGCGATCGCCAACAATGGTGTTCATCCAGTCTTGTTTCAGGTCAGTTTTCTTGATGCTGGTGTCATAGTAAGCTACCTCTGCTTCGTTAGCAAAGCAAAAGCTAAAAAATCTGGGAATTCTGTGACTCCATTTAATGATGTGAGGAAGAACCTCAGAGAGTGTTTTTCTGTTAAAGGCAAGAACAACACAATCTGTATCTTGGATTATTTTTCCTGCTGTAAGTTCAATTTTTTCCCATATATTTAATTTTCATTTTGTAACTAATGTTTTCAGTCATAGTAATGGGGAAATACCTGAAAGCATATTAAAGCTATATCACTGTATTTATTTCTGGTGCTATGTCCTGTGAGTTTCATGTGGCCAGTGCAGCTGTATCTAGTTAACTACATGTTATACTACACATTTAAGTGTTCCTGACATTTAAACTCATTTACACAAACACACAGTGCATTTTAAATGTATAAATTTTGATCTTACCTGCAAATGCAACACAACAAAACAGGAGTAACAGAAACAGAAGTGTCTTCATTTTCTTGGGGTAAGGCATGGAGCTGAACAGAAGAGTGGCGAATGTTGGACTGCTTCCTGGTTTTATGAAATAGGATACGTGAGGCATGTTTACCTGAATAAAGGCTAATCTCTAAACAATCCAAAATATCACAGTCATGATCACACAATCTTGTTCTTATTCAAAGTATAATTAACGCTAGCACAGAGTTATTCTGATCTTTATAATCACATATATTTTATGTGATTCTACATGTGTTTTTTAATCCACTACCTGTAACCTCAACTGTTTTATTTCATTATAATTTTATTGGATGGAAGAAACAAAAAGCATCTGTTTATTGTAACATGTAATGTGTGATGTTAGCATAAATATCAGGACCTTATTGCCTTACCTTTCTCCAGAATGTCACCAGTTTCTTCCACGGTGTCGCATAACCTACTCCAGTGATCTCCGCCTCCTCTGCAGGTTCTGGAAAAATGCCAGCATAGCCTACAACTCGGCTCATTTTCAACCGGTATAACTTGTTGACTCCCTTTGAGATTTTTTTGAGGCAGTTTTGCCTTAGTTTTTCTCAGGAGTAGATGTGCTCATAAATTCCCGTTTATGACGCTTATGCGTACATTTAATAAAGAAGATCTGTAGTAACTTGTCATTTGGGTTTCTTGTCTGTTGTTTTTTATGCTTTTCCATGCTGTCAAAGTCTTCCAACATTGCTGTAGCCTAATCATTTTCACATGCTTCATTTTTGAACAATCATTTTAAATTATACTTTAGAAGAGGCTAGAAAATATCCAGACTGTGTGTTTTTGATTTTATGGTTCCTGATAAAGGCTCTGAGTAGCCTGAGACAAAGTTCAGGATTGCTTTGTGGTTTCGATTTGGTTTAGATTCAACTAGGAGCTGGAATCCTTCTGTAGATTTTTTGATCCATGCTCACTTGGTAGCATCACACAGTTTTGCAGATTTGTTGGCTGTACATATATTATGAAAATCTTCCCTTCCAGCACATCCCAAAGTCTATTGGACTGGTATCTGGTGACAGCGGAAACAATTTAAGTACACTGATATCATTGTCATGTTCAAGAAACCAGTTGGTGATAATTTGAGCTTTATGACATGGTGTTATCTCACTGGAAGCAGTTATCAGAAGACAGGTACACTGGTCATAAAAGCATGGACATGGGTATCAACAAACTAAACTAAACTTAAATATAATTTTATTTCTTTTTCTAAAAAACTGAACAAAACTAGAAAAGGTGATTTACCAATTACAGACACTATACAGTATCTTATAAAGGTTAATATATGGTTTAAATAATCTGCTGCTACATGCAGGACACTCAGTCAGTTCTCAGCTGCAGATGTGGAACACCCAGCTTGTACATCAAAGTGTGCAGTATGGCTGTCAGAGCATCGTGGTGTGGAGAGAAGGAAGAGAGTACCCAAACGCAGGATTTAGGCAAGCAGCCGGTTCTAGAAGATGTCTGACCTAGGCCTTTTTAAAAAAGACAAAAAAGCGGGCAGGGATAGCTCAGTAGGTAGAGTGGTTGCCCCACGATTGGAAGGTCAGGGGTTCAACTCCCCTGAATGGCTACCCTGAGGTACCCCTGAGCAAGGTACCGTCCCTACACACTGGTCCCCGGGCACTGCATTGGTGGCTGCCCACTGCTTCACTGGGTGAATGGGTTAAATGCAGAGGATTAATTTCCATACGGGGACTAACACATACTTATTATTATAATTCTTATGAGGCATAATGAACTGAGCTCAGGAGTGTCTATATTGATTGACTGAAGTCCAATCTTTGTGAGCTAGAATTCTCACTGGTTTGTAGTGGATCAAATACGTAATTTAATCAATGACAAGCGATGCAATTTGTAACTTTTATGGAATGTGTATTTTCTGGATTTTTGTGGAGAGTCTGTCCCTCTCCATTAAAATGAAACTATCTTAAAAATGAGAGACTGAGCAAAAATACAACTCAGCAGTAGATCAAATAAATATTTCCCTCAATATCTTATTTTCTTCTGCATGTGAGATTCAGACAGCGATGGCTTGCTGAAGACCTTTCAAATTAGAGATAAAAATTAAAAAGTAAAAGAAAGAATAAAATCGTGGAGAAGTCAGAGAATAGAACATGTATGCAATTTACAATGTCCTATAAGATGTTAACAATGCAGCAGTATTTTCTAGTATTTATACTGTGGAATAATGAAACAGACATGCTTCTAGTACTGACTTCCCGTGACTGATGTCAGTCTGCTTTAAATGTGGAAAACTTTTACTAGGAAGTGAATTTCACTGTGTTGTGAAAACAGTGAACCATTATAAACATTGTGTTGAATGAATGTGAAGCAAGAACAAAATAAAGTCCTGCAAGTTTTCTTTTTAGTTAATTTTGCATTGATCTTATGTCTACTCCAACTAAAAAAAACAATAATTACTTAGTTACTTAATTACTAAAGTCAAATATTGAAAACATCATTCCTTTCACACCGCGTTCACTTGCAGGGTGTCGTATTCAGAATGCCAAACTAGGGCTGCACCAGGAAGTAACTTTAGACTGAACAAACCTATTAAACCACTCGACTCTTGTTAGTTCTTTTGTTCAAGTTCAGCTGTCTAACCATGATGAAGAAGCTAATGATCCTGCTCTTTCTCTGTCATACTGCATTTACAGGTAAGATCACGATTCAAAATCAAAAAACCTTATAATTTCATATTTACACACACAATAACAGCAGCTGTACAAGTATTAACTGGAAATGAAGAATATAGTGCCCAGTGTTGTGCAATCCACATTATGTCTTGTGCAGTGCAAATTGGTAGCACTTAAAAAAAAAATTATAATCAGTATTATTTTTCCAAAATAAAATGTAGACTAAAATATAAGACATAATTTACTTCTTATGTTGTCAGTACATGGATGGCATATAGGACTGAATGAGACAGAAATTACAGAGCCATCAGTATTTAGGGACTTGGGTTAAGTGTAGAGCCGTAAAACTTTGATTAGAGACATCAATGACACTTTGACAGGTGAATTTACATTTCCTCTTCTACTTTTATGAGAATATGTTAACCAAACCATGAATGAATTAATCATATTTCTGATGATTTCTGATAACTTTGTGTTTTATTTCCTAATACTAACATTATATAAATTTATTTGCCCACAGTGAAACACTCACTGATGTATTTTCTCACTGGATCATCTGGGATAGCAAACATCCCAGACTTTGTGGGTGTTGGAGAGCTTGATGGCATTGAGGCTGGTTACTGTGACATCAACAACAAAATAATACAGCCAAGACAGGACTGGGCAAAACAAATATTAGATGATGACCGTGCGCACTTGGAGATGTACACTTATCTGTGTTTTGAGAATCTGCCAGACTTCTTTAAGGGATTCATTTTTACATTGAAGCAGCAGTTCAACCAAACTGAAGGTGCATTATTTCCTTATATATGTCATATCATTATAAACCATAGGACATATGTAAAAAAAATATGAATGTACAATTGGTTAAAGACTTAATTTTGTGTTACTTGATTGAGACCTGAAATTCTCAGATACTGCTATTGTGAATATTCATTAAAAAGCTAATACAATAATACATTTACAGTACTACATTGTAATCTTCAGTTAAATCATTGGTAGATTTAGATTTTCCTTTAAAAAGTAAAATCAAAACAGTTTTCCTGCTTTTTATAGCTTATAGCCCTGGAGTGAATCTGTTTTTGTTTCTTGTCTTTCTGAAGCTTTTTTCTTGTAATCTTAATCAATCAGGTCTAAGAAAATGTTCGTAATCGTAAGCATAACACAAACACTGGAGAATAACAGTGCCTCGCACAGTGCACACTATAAACATGGTTGTTGAAATACCTGTTTTCCCTTTCACTGTTCAGGTGTCCACATTGTACAGAGGATAGATGGCTGTGAATGGGATGAAAACACTGGAGAGGTGACCGGTGTACTTCAGTATGGATATGATGGAGAAGATTTTCTTAAATTTGATATTAAGACATTAACATGGATTGCGCTGAAACCAGAGGCTGCTATGATCAAACAGAGCTGGGATGCTGACATAAATGATAAAAAAGACGATGAAGACTACTTCACTCGGATTTGTCCAGAGAGGCTCAAGATGTATTTAGACAGTGGGAAAAGCTCCCTGCAGAGAACAGGTACCTTTAAATTTATTATTTTTTCAAATGTATAATGGCAAAACATTTACTCTGATTTTATATTAAAAGATTTAGAAGGTAACTGTGCTGCTACAATGTTTCATTGGCAATTGCTGGTTAAAGCTGTGATAGGCAAAAACTGTATTTAGAGATGGAAGGAAAAATAGAGATTGACAATGATTGTCACTCATGCTAGTCTGTTAATCTAATACTTAAACAGCATTTTAGATAACTAACACACTCAGAACACACACACACACACACACACACACACAATTTGCAGGGAAAATCTAGAGTTCGTGGAGAGAGTCCATGCAAGCACAAGAAAAACAAATACATCACTGATTAAAAACCAGGACTTCTTGCTTTGATGTAACAGCATTATCAGTCAGTATTTCACACCAAATCACAACAACAGTCGCTTCAAGGGACTTTATATTGTAAAGTAGACCCTGAGGCACTGAATGAACTGTACCAGCACATCAGTGAGCAGCAGACAGCCCATCCTGATGCTTTTCTCATCCTGGCTGGGGATTTCAATCATGCAGACTTAAAGTGCGTGTTTCCAAAAATACAACAACACAT